CCATTGGAGTTACCTTTTGGGAAGCCTTGGTACTGGTGCTGGGTAGTTCTTCCAGGAAGCCAGAAATGACCCAGAAATGTACCTGCAAACCCTTGTGCATGTCTCTGGATCTGATGTGAGGGGTAAAAGCACATGTGGAAAATACCAACCATGAGCAGGCTCAAAGTTCAGAGCTGGCCTTGGATCTGCATTCCCTGGCTGGAAGCAGACTTCTACCACTCCTGTGCAACTTAGGGATAAATGGCACTGCTGCCATCATGAGAGGGCCAGCCTGCACTCTGTACAGCTGCATCCCTGTCAGCTACCTAAGGTTCTGTGGTGATGTAACCACCTCCGTGCAAATGGGAGCTGAAGAATGTGATGTGACACATTTCCCGGACCACCAAATAAACTAAAAAGTAGGCTCCCAGCCCAGAAAGGTTACCCTCCCAAATAAACACGTCCCAGCCTCCCTTCCTCACACACACTTACCTCCTGCCACCCCAGGAAGCTGAGCTCCTCACAGGCTCCATTACAGACCCAGAATGAGCAGGTTCTTCCAGCCAGTCTGCATCTCCCATACAGTAATTGCTTTGGAATGGGCATCTGAGAACAAGACACAACTGTATATACAAGAAATGTTCCCTCTGCATAAACTTCTCAGTAGACTTACTTTTGTCTTGTTGCCAGGAAATGTATTTGGAGCCTCTTGCTAACCTCACATTTCTTTGATTAGAGGGGCATGACCAGTTTGTTCCAATAGTTACAGGGGAAAAAAGGAATGAGAAAGCAGAAAGTCCTCTTGAAGCACATCAGCTTTGCAGCAGCACGTGAGAGCACCCCATTCCACCTTCTGTCCTTCTTGTGACAGCTGTTCTTCCAAGGGTTGGGAAGGAGTGGGGGGAGCCCAAACTCGCTTCTCCAGAACAGGGAATGTCACTGTAGGTGAGCTTAGAACCTGAGATCATTTCTGCAGCACAGTGCAGTGAGATCCAGGCTGAAAGAGGAGCCACTCCACTGATGCCTCAGGGTTTAGCTTTTATATTTTTCATTCTCTACTGCTTTAATGTGTAGGTCTGAGCTTCCTATTAGGGGATGGTGAGCTCTCTGCACAGAGTAGGGAGACAAAACAATTCCTTCTCTAGCTGGGCACCAAGGACAAATGATCCAAATCTCAGGCCCAAGAGCACAAACATCGTGGGCTGAAGAGAGAAAAGCAAGAAGGATGGGACTGCATGGGCTAAAGCTGGAATTGGACAATGAACTCCAATATGCAAATGGAGCAGAACTTATAAAAGTGAGAGACCCCATGACCCGTCATGCATTTTGTGACCATTTTGGGCCCATCTTGGGTGTAGCCCTGGCTGGGCTCTTGTGCTGCCCAAGATGGATCTATTGAGGCCTCCTAATAAATCCCTACTTTAAATCTGTCTAGTCTCTGTTCTAGGTCAGCCTTCACAGGGCATCACCACGACCAACGGGAACAGGTGATGGGGGGAATCAGCAAATGGTCAAAACTGGTTTCTTAGGTGGGGCAGGAATATCAGAAAGGAAAAATATAGCCAGTCAAATTGAAGTATGGCCAGGAAACATGAGTTAACACCTTCCATCTGCCAAACAAAGAACACTGCTAGGTCTGTGTGACAGTGAACAGCCAGGGCCAGGGCCTTGGTTGGCCTCACAAACTGCTTAAAAACCTGCACGGTGGGAGATGCACATTCTGTGCCCAGTTCAGGTCAGAATTATTTTGGAGCATGAGACTGGCACTTGTCTCCTCTCATCCCAGCTCTGTGTGCACAGCTCCCTGGGTGAGGACTCACCTCCCTCCTGAGGCTCGGGAAGCAAGCTTTGAGCAGTTTGTGAAGTGCCTGGTTCTCTCAAGAGGCAAGGTGACCAAGACCAAAGTATTCTATTTTTGTCCTGGAGAAGCCATCCTCCTCACAGTCACACTCATTAAGACAGCAGCCATGGTAACCCAAACTCCTTGGATGGAAGTGGGGAGATTGCCAAAGGGAGGATTAGCTGGTGGATGTCTTGAGCTGCAAGGGTGTCTCATATGGATTTGTGCAGGATTTTCACTTCAGCTGTCCTGGCTGCAGCTCCTGTCCTACCATACCAGGACACTCTCCTTGCTGCTGTGCCTCTCACAGCAGCCAAGGGCTGGTTTTGTGCTCTCATTTCTGCTCCTTTGGGAAGGAAAGCTGTGTCAAAGAAAACCCAGCCCAGTGAAAAACTGACCCCCTTACATAAGGAAGGAGCAGCTCTGTCTGGAGGCAGGATTGGTTCAGGAGGGATCCCCACTGGCTGCTCAGTGATCTGATGCTCTGGGCCATCATTTTCCCTTCCACAAAAGGGATTCCTTTTGCTTCTCTCTGCACTGCACCTTTGAGACCTAGCTAAGAAATCACTGCTGGAGTCCTGTTTTTCACATCTGTGACACTGCCTCTTTCTCCATCTTGTCTTGATCTTTGCTTTCTGCTGCCAGCTGCCCCAGAGCTGCTTTATTCCGCAGGACTGCAAACCCATCCATGGGTGGGTATCCAATCTTTTGTCACCCAGGGGAGCAGGGTATAAGACTGCTTGTAATGTTATTATTAAGAGGTTCCCTTGGGTTGTTTTTAGCAGAAATGAGAGTTGCTTGTTTTCCAGCAGAGGATCAGTTACAAAAACAACACCAAACAAAAAGGATTTTTTGAGAGCAGGGGCTCTGTTTGCCGTGTTAATTTCAGGGAAAGTTATTTGGGAGAAGGGAGGAAGTAGTTAAATCCTTGTTTACCATATTGGAACCCCAAATCCCCTTGGTTTACACAAATAAGGGAAGGGAGGAAGTAGTTAAATCCTTGTTTACCATATTGGAACCCCTTGGTTTACACAAATAAGAGAGAAAATGGCTCAGTGGCATGAGCACATGGCTGTGACTAAGGAGAGCTGGGTTTTTCCCTGCCCTAACTCATACACATCTCGAAGGCCCCTCTTCCCTCAAGATGGGATCTCCTTGGTGCTCCATGCTATCTTTTGGGAGGTGGTGTTTCTCTCTTTGCTGTAGAGATTGCAGTCTGCTGGGGGAGGCAGGATGAAAATGAGGCAATTAGCTCCTGATCTCAGCTGCATCAGGGCCAAGGCCAGGTTTGCTCTGCCTGTGGAAATCAGAATTGCTTCATGTTACAAACAGAAGGTGTTATCAGACATCAGCCTGAGGAGAACAGAGCAACAGGGACTGAGCCCTAGCTGGCAGTGAAATGGTGCAGGGTGAGAAAGCTCCCATTGCTCAGGGTCCCTGTGCCCTGGCATGCAGACATTCAGGGCTGAAACCCAGGCAGGGAGCACCTCAGCAGAGACAGACACCATCCAACAGGAGCCTCCTTGCCCTTGGTAAGGAGTCAGGTCTGCCTCAAATCAAGGCAAATATGGTTCCTCTGGGAACTCTAATGTTTTACTGGATCACTTGGTTTCTCTTGATGAGTGCTGCCTCAGAGTCTCAGTTGCCTGGATCCCAGTGGGGATTTTGTTGATGGGGGTTTATTGACTTCTTGTTACCTTGAAGTTCCTGCAGTGGCAGGAGTAAGAGGTAACTCCTGGAGCCTGTTTATTTTACAGGTCAGATTTTTAAGAGTTTGCCAATGGTACCCCAATTTTAGGAGAAGTCACTTGTTTATTTAGCAGTGCACTCACAAACTGTTCCATAAATAAAACTAGAGTGTTATGTAATAAGTCCCAACAGAAGGTCAGCCCTGGTTCACTGGTAAACTGATCAATTCAGAGAGCAAAAAGCAACTCTCAGGAGGTGATGAGACAGACTCCTCATGTCTGTCTGAGGGAGGTACCAGCCAAATATCACCGTGATTTGCACTCCACTGAGTTTTCAGGAGTTTCTGTGTCCATACCTACTGAAAAGAAAATGCCAAAAGGTCCAAGATGCAGTAATTTCCAACAACCTTTACTTCAGCCCTCTGGAGAGGTTTTCAGAGTTGTAATATTTTACAGCTGGGGCTGCAGATCCAAGTTTGCATCTGTGGGAGAAAGAACAGACTTGAATGTGGGGTCCATGAATTTCCATACACTGGAGCTGAAATTCACCCACCTCTCTTAGGCACCAAGAATTACTTGTCTGGACCTAAGACACTCCCCATGGCTTCTTCTACAGTTGTGTGTATGGGACAACCTTGGGATAAACATCACAGGAGGGAAGCAGCTTTCTGGGAGGAGCTGACCTCTCCCCAGTGACAATTGTGGGAGGTGTTAACATTGCCTTAACCCCAGATGAGTTTCTCTTAGATGTCCAAATCAGGGGAGAAGCAGCTGGTGTGCCCTGTGGACACGTGCAGCCATGGAGAAGGCAGCCACAAGGTGCTTGGGACAGTTCAGCTGATGCTGTGTCCCACATTACAAAATCCTCACATGACTGGGAGGCTTAAGACACAGGCAGCATTAATTCAAAGAGGCTGGGACAGATCAGAGTGGGCTTTACAAGCCAGACATGTCAGATGTCACCCAGGGGATTTGCCATGGGGTCCTGGGATGGGGCCAGGTTGAGCAGATGACATGCAGTGCTGATCCAGCAACAGTTCCCTTGGCAAACAGGGAATGATTTGGGTGGCTGGGGATGCAGATCACACAGCAGGCCCTGTTCCACTGCAGCAGATGCCTCGTGAAAAGCTGGCAAGCCACACTTACAGCCAGGACCTGGTGACCTTGGCCAGTTCAAACTGTATTTACTCTACACAGATGAGTGTGCATGGGTGAAACTGTTACCATGGGTGTGCACACAGAGGGGAATAACCCAAACAAAGATTTTGAACCTAGATCTGGGATTTTTGACTTGATGAGGGAGAGAGGAAGAGCCAGGCACAATGTACCTACAAATCAGTTCAAGTCACTGTGAGGAGGCACAGTTGAATGGAGATGCCTCTAAAAACCTCAGTCCCAGCAGCCTGAAGACATCACAACAGGCTGAAATGCCTGCAAATGCAACATTTCTTTGAAGAGAGATACAGGGAAGAGAGACTTTTCATCCAATTTTGTGTTTTTATTTTTGCCGCAGGCATACACTGGGTTGCTGTTTCAAGACTTTGAAAGGAACAGAAGCTGTTGATATTCCTGATATTCCTGAGCATAATGTTCAGCCTGAACCCTGTCTTTGGAGAACATTCCAGGTTGGGTTAAGCAGGCTAACCACAACTGGGCTGTCTCAATCCATTCCAAGCACAGCCAGAATCAGTTTATGTCTGCCTACAAACATTCTGGAGTTCCTCTGGTGGCCTGGTTTGTAGAGGTGCTGCTCACTCACAGCTACTGCTTAGGTAAAGCTGTAATGCTGCCAGATCACCCTTCTGTGCCTCAGTTTCCTTATCCCAAACACAATAAACCCCATTCTTCATGGCCTAGGGGCATATGGTGTCATGCAAATTTTGTTATTTCTGTGATGAGAGCATGAGCTTTGTTTGGTACAGTAGTCTGGGGGTGCCTCCTTGCCATCATTTGGAAAAGACAAGAATTAACCTGCATGTTGGAAATGCAGAGTGTTGTTACCGCTATCAGACAAACAGAATTACCTCCTCTCAAAATCAAAGATTATCTGTTTTATTTCAGTGAGATGTGGTGATGTCCACAGAAAACAAATCTTTCTTGGCAAGTGGAGGCAGGATTTTCTTTGGCAAGTTGGAAGAAGCATCAAAGGAAGAGAAGGATGGGATGCAGCACAACTGGTTTTAATCACACTTGAGAGTGAAGTTCCTCTGGACAGGCCCACTCTCTGATATGCCATGGAATGAGCCTGGAAAAAACCAAGGGAATGGCACAAAGGGACACCCTGGGGAGCCTGGAAAAAACCAAGGGAATGGCACAAAGGGACACCCTGGGGAGCCTGGAAAAAAACCAAGGAAATGGCACAAAGGTCCTCAGGGCTCTTGGTGGACTAACTGGCAAAGCTTTTTCCAGCTGGCATCAGGCAGTGCTGAGGTGTCCCTTGAATGCAGTGTTCTGGTTCCATGACTGATTTCCAGAGGTGTTTGGTTATCCAAGCCCCTGCCTTGTTTCTGGCAGCTCCTCAGAACACACTGCACTCCTGCTTGACATCACAATGAAGGTGCTGAGCTGGTTGAAACAAGGATGCACCATCACTGCACAGAGAGGGGAGGCTCTGATTGCAGCCCAGTCCTGCTCTGAGCTGCTCAGAGTGCTCTGGAGGTGTCAGCTGCCTCTTCTTGCCTGTCAAAGAGCCTCCAGGGGCTGCTTCCTAGAGCTGCCTGAGTGGATGGGAGAGTCTGCAGAAAGAGAGCTTAGGGAAATGCCTCTTGACAGGCCTGTACCTCTTGAAACCAGTTTCCTCTGGAAATTGCTGACTTGTTTCACTAAGTTTAGGGACAGGGAACGTGCTGATTTTATTAATGTGTTCTGCAGGAAACTGATGTTTCACTTCAACTGTTTCAATAGCATATAGTGTATAACACTGTCACCTCACATAACATGTCAGCTCAAACTAGCTTATATAAACATCCAAACAAGAAAGTCAAGATACAAATGCCTGATATCATTTCAGTACTTGTGAAACAAAGCATTTCAGCAATCCATTCAGCTGCATGTTCCAAAATGATGGCTCTCTCTTCCAGTTAGGAAGGAAAGGACATTTGCAATGTCTGAATTGCCTTTGGAGCATGAACAGCTTGAGCTGCGATGGCTGCTGGAGCTGCATGGCTGGGATTGCTGCTCAGAATGCTGCGACAATTGTTTTTCTACATTTTGTGGGGTTGCAGTGGTGTTTGGAGGCTACAGCCAGGGCTTGAGGCTCACATTCATACAACAAAGGTAACGTTTGGCCTTCAGTCACGCAGAATAGAAGCTGGACCTGATATGGGGACACCAAGTGGCACCAGAACTTGGGAGGTGTCTTGGCAGAAACGGGATTTACTGTGCTGGGGCTAAGCCCTTACTCGGTGTGGTAGCCTGCGAGAAAGATCTGCTGGAAGGACAAGCTGGGAGTTTCTCTAATCACTTGTCAGTGCTAATGAGGACTTGAGCTTGAAGGACCCTCAGTGTTCTGTGAGCCTTGTCTCAGACAGGGTCCTGATCTTGGATTAAATCTCTGGTAACACCAAGATCAGGAACAAGTTTCAGGTGAGCACAAAACAAATGGGATTCAAACCCCCAAGGAGCTAAAGACTTCTTTAAATAATTGGTTTAAATAACATGGAAGTTGAGGCAAAGCCATTGAATTGAATATCCAGTCCTTGAACACCAAAACAGAACTGATACACAGATGATGTCTAAGCAAAATCTGTTTGAAATTTGGGATTATTTATTAAAATTATTATTATTATATTCTATGGGTAAATTGCAGACAGCCCTGAATTTCTAAGCCAAGAATGGCCCTTACCCAAATTAAGGGACATTTAAGGGTGGCCTGTACCAGATGACTGGGAGTTCTGGAATTAAAACATGCCTCAGAAAGGGAGGAAACCAAAATATTTTTCAGTCTGCAGCCTTCTCATGCATTTAAGCTCCTGAAGGACTTTGTTTCTTTACTCTTGAGATTCATTATGTCACCAGAAAAGCTTTACTATTTTACTGTGGAAGCAACATAACCATGAAACATTAATTTCCAGGAATGTGGAAACCATGAAATAGGGTTTTTTCTACTAAATTAAGATTTTACTTTTCTCTCTTCTCACATAGTTAAGGAAACCAATTTTCATCATATATTTATGTATATGCATTCTGGAAATTCTGATAGAAAAGATACACAAAACACAGGAAGAACATTTTTACATTGAAAAATGTATTTCATGGTAACCACACCAGCCATTTATATTCCATTTTTCATCCTGAACCATTTTGTATTCTAAATCCGCCTTGGAACCACGTCTCTCCTGACTGAACTGCACCAACTCAGCTGATATATTGTGCCCTGTAAGATTTAGCAGCTGTTTAGGTTTGTATAAAATTCTTTATTCCCGTGTTTCCACAATGCCATTCTCTCACCACTGCAGTGAGAACACCTCTCAGACCTGCCTGGCACAGACACCACTGGACAAGCATCTCCAGCAGTCCCCAAGTGTTCTGCACCATGGCAGATGTCTCTGGCTGGAAGAAAAAAAATGGTGAAGAGCAAATTAATTTGTAATTCATGTAAAGGAAAATACATAAATATTCCCTTTTTTTTTTTTTTTTTTTGCTATAGGACTGATGCCTCTTTCTTGATAAAAATGTCACTTACTCAGTTTCCATCCAATACCAGCTGATCAGAATGGAAGAATTAGTCAAAACATTCCAGAAGCATCTGTGTTGTGGGAACCATAGGTTTCCAGGCTATAGGAAACACCAGAATATTCACCAAATCACCAGTGTGGTTTTCCTTAATGCTACAATTAGCCAAGGGACGTTAACAGGAGAGTTACTGGATAAGAGTTGATGGCAGAAAGCCTTCTGCTATAAACTGGTAATTCCCAACATGTGCAAACATATTGCCAGAGAAGATGAGTTATGCAATTAAAATCAAAATTGGAGATTTGTTATCAAAGGACAGCAATGTGTACTAAAATCCAGCTGAGAGGCTCCCTTATCTTGTTATCTTCAGGCTTCTTTTTTAGTTAATCCAACACAGCTGACAATATTTGACACAGCCAATTGTGCCTGCTGTCATGTGAGGGATGTTTTATAGAGCTCCTTTCCCCTAGCACAGAGAGATTTGTCATGGTGCAACTCTTTACAAAGTCTGAAACGCTTTGCCAGGATTGCATTTCAGGGCAGCAAGATGTGATAAAAATTCTGACAGAGTCAGAACGTTTCTAATGTTATCATTAATTTCTAAAAGTTTGAACAAGGCTTAGTAACATTTTAACTGCAAATTACGTTAAAAATTCAATTTGAAAGAAGCATTTCATTTTGTCTGGATAAAAATTTTAGTCAGCTTGGAAAGCTGTGGTTTTGTAGCCTTCTCTCATAACAAATTTCAAAATTCCTCCCTCGCATCTTTAGAAAGAAGAAAAATTCCACATTCTGAATTTGTTTTCAAAATGAACCTCTGTCTCCCACAGCACTTTCTGTGCCTCTAGGAAGAGGACAAGAAGCTTAATGTACAATTTCTGTGAGCCTTAAGGAGATGGGCTACATGTCAGTATTTTCAAATCCAGGCTTACACAGCTGCTCTTTGAATATAAATCATAGCTTTTGGGCTACACTAACACTCTCTGCAGTTTAGCACAGTTGTTAATTAATACAATACTGTATTAGTTCTTCTTACAGCCTTACTATTAACATTCCGTGAAATCCCATTAGCTCTGCATATGGTGCCATGCTTGTTCTGAATGTGGGAAAGAAAGAAATGCACAGTGGTATGAATAATAAAGAGAGGCTTTCAAGTGGTTTCCACTGTGAACATTCTGAAAAAAAAAATCAAAAATTCCAGAATGTAATATGTGGGGCCAGCTTTTCACAAAATTTCAATGCAAACATGCAGATATTTGTCAGCCAAGTTTTCCTCTGGAGTGTGAAATCCCTTATGCGCCACTATTGTTCTACAGCAGGAACATCAGGAAGAGGAAGTGGCTCCTAAAAATGGAAAATTAACCAGGTTGTTTTATTGTCCAAATTGACAGAAATGAAAAAAATAAAACAAAAAACAAAAAACAAAAAACAAAAACAAAACAAAACAAAACAAAACAACAAAAAAAAAAAAAAAAAAAAAAAAAAAAAAAAAAAAAAAAAAAAAAAAAAAAAAAAAAAAAAAAAAAAACCCAAAAACCACCAAAAAATCCCCCCAAAAAACCCCAAAACTGCATAGCTGATGCTAACAAAAAGATAAAACTTTCCTGATATTCTTGGTTTAAATATTCTAAAGTACAGGTAGAGAGGGCAACCAAAATTTGGGTGAAGTTTTCCAGAAGTTACTTGAATTTCCTGCTTCAGTGATCTGACAGATCCTTCTTAAATTCCAAGAAGACTTGAGTGCCATAGTGAAAACCAGGCTTGTTAACACCTCATACAGAACACCCCAAAATTATTAACTACTACAGAAACTTCAGACCTAATTGTTTTCTATTAGATGAGTTTTGTACAGTGTTGACTCCTTAACGGAAGAGAGACCTGACAAGGAGGTTAGGAAAGCTTTTAAAAATGGAAAGACTGATGGAGCAGGTAGGATTTAGGAGCAGACTGTTCCTGGGAGAAGCTTTGTGGTTCTTTCCTGACCCTTTAGAAGCTGCTGCCCTGGAGCAGTGCATGGGTAGGAGGATTCCAGGAGGTGCTTTTCTCCTTCCCAGCCCCCTGGTTCATCCATGGCCCAGTCCCTGCAGTCCCACAGGGCAGTCAGGAGTGGCCAGGGCCCTTCTGCATGGCCAGCATCCAGACAGGGACACACTGCTCAGGGAAGCCCTGCTGCCTCTCCTCCCGCAGGATGGTGAGGCCGCTCATCTCGATGAGGCTGTGCAGGATGTTCAGGTCTCGGATCACGCTGCTGTCCAGGCAGTCCAGGGTGCAGCCCTCCCTGGCCACATTGTCCTTCAGAATGATGACACCGTTATCCTTCAAGCCACCCTGGCAGCGGATGAGGAACTCCAGGAGATCTTTGTCTGTCAGATATCCTGCAGGTGAAAAGATGGTGTTTTAGGTTGGAAAGAGGGAGGGGGTTTACATTTTCCATTTCAGGGGAAAATGCAGACACCTGTCTTTTCAAACTAAGACAGATGAAAAATAGATTGCTATTAACCATTCAGACATGTCAGAAGGGTGCCTTGGTCTGAGTCTCTGTGGCCTGTTTATTGCAGAAAATTATTATTCTAGTCCTGTCAGATTTAACTAGGAAATCTTGGGCAAATAAATGAGATCAAATACAAACTCCAGTCAATATTTGGGATCCACAGTGGTAGCAGCAACAGATGTGGACCCAAACCACTGAGGAGATTGGAGAAAATAGTGGGTGCTGAAGGGTTCTTTAATCTGGTGGTTTAAGTTATAATAAGAATCAGTGGCAGGAGGCTGGAGCCAAACAAATTCTTATAGGGAATAAGTGACAACTATTTAACAGTGTAAGCAATTACCCACTGGAAACTACCAACAGAAGTGGGGTTTACCACCTCTTGAAGTCCTCAAACCAAGTGTGGTTGAATCTTTCAAGATATGTTTTAATTGAACACAAAATACTGGCTTAGCATGGGGGTAAAGGAATGAATAGAGCAGCTTGGGATATAGAGTAGGTCAGACTAGATAATCCCAGTCCTCTCTGTTTTTACTGCTAAAAATCTCTGTAACTTTGTGTTGCACTGTATCCTCCATCAGAGGAGTTCTGGATCAAAGATCCAGCAAAGAATGCAATGCCAATTCCACAGCCCCAGTTAAAGTCCTCATGTTACTCCACACCCCATGGGATTTTAGCAGATATGTATGTATTATAAAATAGTGCTTTTTTTCCCAATATGTTATTGAGATTCTGTTTCTTATCCTTCCTTCTCAAAGATCAGCAGTTCTGTGGACAACAGTGGTGCAGAGCTCAGAGAAGAGCAAAATGAGAACTCTCACATGTGAAACATCTAACATTAATAAACAAGGACAGGTGATCAGGAACTGAAAAACTTGGTAAAAATAATCACCTGTATTTTCTAGTAAAACTATTTCGTTTTCTTGATGGAAGACTTAACCTTTTATAAATGGAAGTTGTCATTTCAAAACCACATTTTAACATAGCATGTCAAGTTTCTCTAACCACTCCTAACAAAACCAAAAAAATTAAAAAGAAAAAGCCCCAAAACCTAAAGTTGAATACCTTTCAAGTTAAAGGAAAATGGTAATTTCTAGATGGAATGTAAGCTTGCACTTTTACTTATTTTACAAAATGACTGCTAGGGTTCACATGCTCATGTGTGCATAAGACAAATCAAGATCTTATTGGCAAGATTTATTGAAGCTTCTGAACACCTATTTTGGAACTTATTTTTCTCTTTTCTTGGCTTTTAGTGTAGTTTCATAAAAAAATGAGATCTTCAAGGTGTTGCTTTCTAGAAGACAATCCTGCCCTTGCTCTATCGTATTAATTTGTTGGCATATTTGAGCCAAATTCAAGGCAGGAGTAGCAGTTTAATTAATTATTAAGATGACTCCCTATTTCCTTGACACTGATGGAGAAAGAAGATTCAGTTCCGTGTCTATGCTAAGAATATGATATGCTCCCTTAGTTAGGAGCCACATATTTGGCCAGCACAGCCTTGGATAGGTCTAAGATCATTCCTCCTCAATTTGACTTGGATTTGCTCAAAATGTGAGGCAGGAGCTCCATTTACTGCAATAACTCATTATTAAAGAAAAGCAAAAAATGCAAAGGAAAATTATGTTGCTCTAAAGCAATTTGTTCAGACCTCTTCTTGAATAATTCCTTCTGTCCTGTGAAACTGCACCCTGGACACTTTGGTTCACAGATTAAGAGAAAACCTAATTTTCACTGAACAGAATTTTTTTGTAAGGTACATAGCCCTCATTATGTGACTGCTCTAAATGCTGCAGGGCATTCACTGGGGTGGCTGCAGAAGAAGAAGCAGATGTTTCTTATAGGAGGAGCTGCTGTGGGACATAGCTAAGGGAACCTATGACTGATAAACATCAGTGCATGTAATAAGACCTGATCTGATTTACAGGTATTGGTGATTCATCTCTGGCTTTTTCCCTGATTTTTTCCTGAAATACCTCCAAGCCTGGATGATCAGTAGTTTTAGAAGCCACTGTTCACAAGTGTGGTCATCCCTGTACATCTCTCTGCACCTAAGAAAGAGCATTCCTGCCCCAGAAAATCCCTAAGAGGGGCCTCACCCTCAGCTGCACCTTTGCATGCAGGTTGCTCTCCAGGATCTGGCACATTTCTCCAATACGTGACCTCTATAGCCTAAACACCTCTGTGGTGTTTTAGGAAGTAGCCCCAAAGATCTGAGAACCTCCTTGGAGCTGTTCTGTGAGATGTGAATCTAGAAGGTAACACAGAACTAACCTGAAACCCACTGAATCCAGATGACATCGTATCTTCGAGGGGCCGGTGTGAATTCCTGGAGGCTTTTGCAGTAATACATCTCTACTCTGTCCTCCTTGCCCTGCAGGTAGTTTGGGACCTCAGCCAGGAAATTCTCCATCATATCCACCAGCTCCACACTCTTGAAAACCGGCAGCAGGACGTGCTTGCTGATCCGACCGATCCCAGAGCCACAGTCCAGGGCACGGCTGGTGCCAGCTTTCCCCACCCCCTGAGGGATACAAGAAATCATTTGAAATCTGAAAAATATCACCTGAAAAAATCACAGCAACCCTGTGTCTTAGGTTCAAAGATTTAGCTGGGGTTTGTGTTCATTTACCATCTGTCAGAGGTGGGCCAGTTCTCTGCTGTTCATTGGGCAGTTTTTCTTTTTGTCTCCCACAATCAATCCCCCCTCCCAGAGATCCCTTCTGTTCATGGGCCATTAATTATTAATTATCTTCTGTTCATGGCCACTGAGTGTCCCTGCATGGCTGATAAAATTCCATCATCCCACTGGGAGATGCTCTGCCCAGGGGAGGAGCCAAGAATTCCTACCTGGATAGAATATGAGATTTTGGGACACCACAGCAGCCTTTGCCCACTGCATTCCCAGAGGAGCAGCTTTCTTCTCCTCTGCATTCCCAGAGGAAGAGCAGGCCCATCTCCAGCAGCCCTGGAGCTTCAGAGGAAAACTGCAGCCTTGTGCAGGATCCCTGCTCCAGCAGAAGCACAGCTGGCACTGCAGGAGGGCTGAGCCCCCATGGGATGGGACTGTGCCACCACCCTGACACACAGGGGGCCAGGGCCTGCTCTGACTCTGGCTGTGATTTGTTTTCATTTTTTTGTACTATTGCATTTATATTTTCAATTTTCCTAATAAAGGATTGTTATTCCTGCTCCCATATCTTTGCCTGAGAGCCCCTCAATTTCAAAATTATAATAAGTTAGAGGGATGGGGATTGCATTTTCCATTTCAGGGGAGGCTCCTGCCTTCCTTAGCAGACACCTGTCTTTCCAAACCAAGACACCATGTTACCCACTATGTGTCCAGCCAGCCTGATGTCTTCTCTCCTTATCTTTGCAGGGCTGTTGGGAGGTTGATAAGAATCAGCACAGATTTGGGTACCTCTGTCTGAGCTGAACTGGGCTGTCACACTCTTGGGCTGCTGCTGCTGGGACTTCTCACAGCATTTAGTGCTGTACAGAAAGTTTTTCTTGGTGTAAGGAGAGACAGAGTCTTTCACAAGCTCCTGGCTTTCACAGAAGATCCACTACTCCTTGTAAAGTCTTTGCAAATTCAAATGTTCACACCTCACAGGGAACTACATGGCTAGATAAGCCTCATTCTGTGCCCTGTAAAGGCCAAAGAAAGGGAAGCATACACCAAATGCTGCATGCAAGCAGTAATTTCTGCAGCACAGAACTCCTGAGGTGCCTACGGGCATTTCTACAGATACACAGAATCCCTGGGATCAAAGTGCAGTCCTCAAAACAAATTGTGTTTGAACAAAGATCTCGGAGTGGTAGGTAACTTGTGACAACTCAAGAAGTTTGGGCTGGAGCGTATACAGAATTTCTCTTTTTAGGCATAGAGACAAGAAGGATGATTGACTAGGTTTTGCTTAGCTGTTCCTTTTTTCTTCATAAATGTCATCTTTGGACAGAGATCAGACATGAAAAAATGTGACACAAAGGCTGTGACTATGAGAAAATAATGAAGCGCTGTAAAAGAGGCTTTATAATGAAAGCTGTATTTCACCCCTAAAGCTTCCATTCTAGCTATAAAACAGCTCTTAAGAGCCTGCTGCTGTTCTGTAAAACAGAATTTCTGAGCCTACACATGCACTGACTGTGGGATAGGAGCTCCCCTGGCCAAAGTTATCTGTTAAGCAAACATATTAAAAGCAAATGTAAACACCTTTTCCCTGTCCTCTGGAACTGGGTGTTGAAGTGAAAGCCGTGGGCCAAAGTCCCTGCTGCAACTTCACTGCACTCAAAGGCAACAAGCCCTGGAAGAGTCTGGCTCTTCCTGCTTATTGAGAGACCCCCCCTTTGCAATGAACCCAGCATAAATCATGTAACTCACACTTTTCTGGCCTGGCTTCAGTGGGTAATTCAGTGGATTATTAAGGTCAAAGGACAGCACTGTCAATGACATGACTATGAATAGCCCAGGCCAGCATCTGATTACAGGGAGTAAATGTAGAAAGAGCACACGGCCCTCAAGGGCTCTCACCAGCCTCAAGGGCTGCTGCTCCCAATTTGTATGCCCAGGAAGATTAATCTCCTGATGTGTGCATGAGTCCACAGACCTTCAACCCTACTGGGCTCTGGAGACTACCTGTTTGTAGTTAGCCAGAAAATGGGAGCCATTTCTCATCCACAGGCTGCACCGGGAACATATCCCACAGCTCTTTTATTCCAAATGAAATTTATGAGTGCCCAGTTTAGCTTTAGAGAACAATTTTGGGGTGTATATGTGTCCTAAAGGACAGTGATTCTGTGTAATGGGAACCAAGTAGTCAGAGGAGCAGTCAGTCTCAAATTTTGAAGCCTGTTCTGGCTTACGGTTCCCGGTGCTGCTTCAGGTCTTGGAAGCTCCTGCACATGGCTTTTACTGAGGACCAGACTAAGAGGTAACAAGGAGTTCAGGAAAGGAGAAGGAACTATGTCTTGGATCTTTACAAGGTGGATTTCCATATTGTTGCCTGGCAGGTAAATACAGGTCTACACTGACATGATTAACTAAAAATCTTTGAGAAGGCCGCTGAGAAAACTGGGATGATTTACCAAAACCACCAACAGAATGTGACAAAAAGGCAGGTAATTCCTTCAACATTTGTGTTTCACAGAATCTACAGTCATAGGAGGGACTCAAAATAGGGAATTCATCGCTCAAAACAGGGAATTCATCTCCCATGGCACATCACAGCAAGAACCTCTGATGACACATCTCCGTGTGCCATCGAGAAGAAGGAAAGGGAACGGTCATGGGAGATGAAGTTCGATCCCACACTTTGCTGAAAAGGAGTGAGAGCTTCCAGCAGTCAGTTGAGAAGCCCTGTGAAACACCACGGCTCCGTTTGTAATGAAAATGTTGACATAATTCCATGTTCAGCTAATATATTTTCAGTTTGGAAGTGCTTAGGGGCTTTGACAGAGTATTAACATTTTCTTTGGAAGGCAAACATTTTCCCAAAAGTCTAATTGAGTTGAAAATCAGACTCCTTATGTAAAAAAATGGTATAAGTGAAAACTGTAAGCCAGAACAGTCTTCAAAATTTGAGACTGACTGCTCCTCTGACTACTTGGTTCCCATTACACAGAATCACTGTCCTTTAGGACACATATACACCCCAAAATTGTTCTCTAAAGCTAAACTGGGCACTCATAAATTTCATTTGGAATAAAAGAGCTGTGGGATATGTTCCCGGTGCTACTTCAGGTCTTGGAAGAGCAGAAAGGCAGTGAAGCTATGTATGACAAAAAAAAGGAATCAGAGTTCAAGAAATAGATAAAAAAATCCCCACGGGTTTCCTTCTAAATAAACAAAGAAAGAGCATGTTTTTAACAACATCTCTTCTATCACCCTGATCAAACTGGAGAAAAATCACTTTTCAAGAAGTTTTCACTCAGCAAGTAACCAATCACGCAGGTGAGCTGGGGGCAAGAAAGGCACAAAGCGTTGAGGGCAGAGAGGGAGCCATAAAGTCAATAAAATCTCCATCTGTAATATTTTACACACCTACAGCTCACAACCGAGGCCGAATTAATGCTTCCTTTGTTTTCTTTATTTTCTTTTTTACTCGCTGCCTCCGGATCAGGCACTGGGAAACACAGCGGCTGTGTGGACGCGGAGGCTTTAGCACGCTGCCATAAATAAGCAGGGCTGTAGCTGTGCTGATAACCCTGTACCTGAGACAGCCTGGAGCTTGTCTGCAGAGCCCTGCTGGCTCAAGCCGTGTTGCTCTTGGTTTGAGTTCTGCCCACACACACATAAAACCTCTTAACTCCAGCACAGTGGCACTTTCAACCCCGCTCGACTCGCCCGCGAAGCTAAAATATGAGAGAAGCCCTCAGTCCCTTCCTGTAATTCCTTCCATGTGCCCAGGCAAAATGAATTCTTTTCTCCAAAGAAACCTGTAGCTCAGTTTACAGTGGTGCTAAGGATCATGCTAAGAAATGCCATACCTGAAGGAATGCAACATCAGTCATGGAAGGGAAATGTCACTGTGTGGCATTTCCACGCCAGCCAAACTAACTCAGGAGGGGTAATTTGAGTGGAACCGGGCAAGTGTTGGTTTAGGGAGCACTGGTTTTGCCAGAATGTAGAGTATTAAATGAATAAAACTCTATGTGAAACTGGTATTTCAAATCTAGAGAATGGTTTTTAGCCAAAGAAACATGGGAAAGAATGTTGAAAATGTCAAAGTTTTGTTTTGTTTTTTTTTTCTTCATAACTTTCAAGGAAAAAAGAAACCAAACTTGTCAACTTTCATTCCTAAAGAGCATTTTTTATTTTGGAACTGACTTGAGCTCTTGAAAACAAAGGGGAAAGTTTTTCAGAGGGTGAAACAATAAAAAAATGTTCAGTTCATCTGAAACAATTTTTCCTATTTTCCAATTTTGTTAAACTTATCTTAAAATAAGAGAAAGTACGTTAGGGGTGAAGCAGGTTTGTTTTTGCTATTTTGATCACCTTATGGGTTGAAAAAAAAAATTCATAGAGCCATAAACTTGATAAGACAGTTCATTAGCTTTATTATCAAGTCACTGCTATGGAAAGCCACTAAATATCTGTATCTGGTTGAGCAGGATTCAATTCAAATTTCAGTAGTAAGAAAGAAAAATAAACCGTAAGTAACATAATCAATTGGCTACATCTCAACAGACAACAGGCTGTAACAAAGAATAAGCAAAAGGTGCAGACTCCTTTCTGTTCCTTTTTTTTTGTTTGTTTTTTGGTTTTTGTTTGTTTGTTTTTTTGTTTGTTTGATCTTGGCCATTCAGAGTATCCTTTCTATCCCTGGCTAATTATAGGAGTGGGAATTTTGCTTTGGAGTATTTTGTATCTGTCATCACAGCTGATGCATTGGATATGATTCCCCTTTGGCATGTGAAACTCTGTCACAGACTGTACTTCTTTCCTTTTCGGGTCTTGGAGAGGAGAAAGTGTAACAGTATGACACAAACCTGCTGCAGAAAACTGCATCTGTGTGATGTCCAGGAAGGGTGAAATCTTCCCCTGAGCACACACTTCTGCACCACTTAAATTCCACAAATGTCCTTAAAACAAGACTTAATTAAATTTTAAGGAATGTGCCTTGACTGTGTTTCATTTTCCTTCTGAAAATGCCATTTTCAGAAACGTCATGCAGAAATGTTACCGTCAGCTTCAGCTCCTCACTGAACCTCCTTTGTATTTTCTCATTTTGTGTTCATTGACAGTGTGATCCAGGGAGGCTCTGAGAAGCCTTTTTTGCCTCAGCATTAATACAAATGATTGTTGATGCAGAAAAATGCAGCTATTCCCTTGTGTTTTTCTGCCTCAGAGCCCCAAAAGTCTCCCTCTATCAGGTACAGCAAACTTTGCCATCACTTCCCCTTATCAGCTCTGCATGATTTCTATCTGTTATCAAGCCACACTCATTTTCTATCCCAATCCATTTAAACTGTGCCCTTTTTATTCCATATACAACATCTAATTAACCTATTGAGTTTTCTTCACACAGTGGGTCATTAAGGCTAAAACAAGGTCATCTGGCTATCCCAAATTTGTACATTTGAGCAGAAAATTAAAGATCTATGGCAGCAATATATAGAACTAGTAATTTTGTCAGCAGGAGAACTTCACAAATTTGTTTGTGGATTCTTTAACATCTAATACTGTTGTTGAGCTGACTTAGTGGGCTCCTTCTCTGGGAAAAGGGAAGGGCAGTCAGAGAAACATCGGGCCACACTTCTAAAGGTTTTCAGAGTTCTAACAACAGTTTTAGGACTCAACAGGATTTTCAGAAACCTAAGGACCAAAATGATACTGCTCTTAAAATCCTACTTGGCATCTCCTTGCAATTCAGGCCAAAGCAGACTTTTCAAGACTTTACAGACCTTTGGCAACTGGCCTGAAAAGGTGTTCAGTGACACTGGAATGTTGAAGGAAAAATATTTTGCCTAATGTGTAGCCTCTTCTATATACCTACAATGTGTAGGAGAAGGTGGGTTTTGTTGCAGCATTCTGAGAAGTATCTATAAATAGGCAAACCAGAAACTGGGCATTTAGTCTCAGCTAGTTTCCCAACTGGACTGTTAGAATTTGCACAGACAAATCTGCCACTGAAGCCAGCAAGGATTTTATCATGAAAGGTCCCAGTCCTCCATTCAGAATTAATCAAACCCAGGTAAAAGAACTCCTCATTGCAGCTTGGGAGCATTAGAAAAGAATGTAAAACAGGTAAATAATGATGTAAAACCAGGCAAAATGTGTATTCATGCTGATGAATGAGGTGGCAGAACACATGACTAGACCCAACAACAGTGCTGACCCATGACTGCAAATCAAATGTGACACATTTAAATCAGGGGTACCTGGGCACTGTACATGTAATTTTTGACACATCACCACTGTCACATTGATATTTTCTGAAAAATCCCTTCACCCAGGATTTTTCTCCTGGGAAGCTGAGAAGCCTCAGAGAAAAAGGAAAACAATTCTTATCTCATTTGCTTCTCCTGTGTTTTGCTCACATGTGGAATGTGTGTGGAGATTGTTTACCCACAGGTGATTGTTTCACTGGATTCTGCTGTGAGCTGTTTTGACTCATTGGCCAATCAGGGCCAAGCTGTGTTGGGACTCTGGAGAGTGTAATGAGTTATCATTATTATCTTTTTAGCCTTCTTTAAGTATCCTTTCTGTATTCTTTAGTACAGTTTAGTATAGCATTCTTTAATATAATATAGTATCATAAATTAATAAATTAGCCTTCTGAGCACATGGAGTCAGATTCATCATTCCTTCCTCTGTCTGGGGGCAACCTAAATACAATACACCACTGCTCCTTGCAGAAGATTAAATGACTTACCCCAACAAACTTCCTGAGGAATTCCCGTGAGGATTCGACGTCGGTGTTGGAGAGCTCGATGTAGTCTCCCATCATTCCCTCCTCCGTGGCCGGCACCTCCCGGTAGAAGTGTTTGGCCCTGGCGTAGAACTGCATCTCCCCGTTGATGACTTGGCTTGTCAGAGCATAAAGTTTCACTGCAAGCAGATAAATCACCATTTTATTGTTTGTGACAGATATTTCTGCCTTGGCTAATTGCTGCACATAGTGGTGGAGCAGCAGCCAAAGGCCTACAAAATGAATCCTGACTCGAGCCCACAGGAGCCATGAGGGAGCTGACAGCTCTTTGTGAGAACAGAGTTCTGCAGCCGTGGAAAACAACCTGCTTCCCCTGAGAAAGAACTCTAGGACTGTGATAAACGCTAGCCACCTGTATAAACTGGTTTTATACCGTTAGATAGAGAAATGAAAGCTGTCTCTCACAAACAACCTTTCCTGCATGTACACACGGGGGGGGTTGAGGGACCAATCAATACAGGGTAACAAACCTGTTACTGTCCAACTGGGGACAGACAGGGGATATTCTTAAACAACCCTATAAAAGGGTTTAATAAAATAAACCAGGTTGGATCCTTTCCTTTTGCACCATAAAACATGTCCTGCATCCTTCTTTATCGAGTGCCACAGCGACACTCCAGAGCACAATGATCAGTGTCAGATTTTACCCTTTTCTGACCCAGAGATGGAGCAACTGAGAGGTGTTTAAAAAACTTTTATTCCATTTTCAGTCTCATGAGAAGGGTGAGACAATACAGGTGTTACAATTCACACCATGACAATCAGAAGCCAATTATTTCCTAATTACAATACATTATAAGTGTTTTCTGGCCTATCAGCTTTAGCCACACCATGCTGTAAATGCCTTAAAGCCAATCATCTAAAATTACCCCTCATGGGTCCTACTACAGTGCATCTTTCACAGTTCTATTTCTCCAAAGCTCCTAGTCTTTTTTGCAAAACCATCCTTTGAAACTTGTTTCTAGCTCCATCTCTCTCCCAGCAATGTCTGTGCTATTCCATGACATTTCTAAGTCAGCATTTCTTATCTCAAGGTTTGCATACAGATGCACACTGTGTGAGCCTTCTGCCAGGCTTTGAGAATTCTCTACAAATCCATTTCCCTGTAAACTTCAGTTGAGCCTTCAAAACACCAAATCCATTCCTAAAGCAAAAGTAGAAGGAAAGGTGTTGGATTGAGTCCTACAAGACCTTGCAGGGATCCAGCCCTCTTCATGAAAATTCAGTGCTTTCCAGGTTCAGAAATCATTTCAATCATCACACTGTGTTTTCATGTCACTGAAAAATCACTTCAGGTTTGAAGTGAACACATGCCAAGGACATCAAGTGGTCTGATTTTTCCTGGAAAAGCTGTGGCCAGCATTTACTACGGTGCAGGGTCATCAATGCTGCTCTCACTGACCTAAGTGTTGTGCAGATTTCCAGATATGCTTTCCAGCTATTGACAGCTGCACGGAGACTGCCCCAGGAAGAGAGGGGATGAATGAGGCACTTGCTCTGGTTTATTTTTAGTGATACTGTATGGCCCATGGCAGTGCAAGTAAGCTGAACCAAGGAGCAGATGGTAGTCTCAGGCCTAAATGAGTACACAGGGGGATACAATTTAGAAGAGACAGTCCTAAATTTTCATCTGGCACAGGTCAAGGAGCAAGGTAATCAGTGGGTGATATACTGAAAGGTTCCTGTGTGCCAGAGGCTTGGATGTTTCTTTCCATGGCTTGGCTACGTTGCTGGTAACATACAGCAATCAGTATTTTGAAGCTGTTTTATAAAAACCTGTGAGTTTTGCTGGAAAAAGGGCTATTTTGCTCTCTTCTTTAAAAACTGAGGTCTATCCTCCATACCCGGGTTTTTCTGTACTCAATGTGCATCAGTATCTCAGAAGTATGGATTCAAAGCTCAAAAGTTTGGATTGAGGCAGGCTATAAGTATTGCTTGCAAATCCTGTCTCGTGTGTGCACACAACTGCCCAGGCATTCTCCTGTGTGTGTGACAGACCCTCCACCAAAAACACAACTCCAAGCCTGACAGTGGAAGCCAAGCAACGAGGAGGGACAGAGTCACACTGGGAAGAAGCCTTTGCAAGCACCACCTTGCAGTGTGAGACCAGCTCTGCTGCAGCTTCCCAGCGTGCCCAGGGAACTGGAAATGCTCCAGCAGCAAACACCTTCTGAGCTCATGGCAAGAGAGGGAGGGAGAGCTCCCTGCCAGCTGCACAGAAGGACCAGGCAGCAGCTCTTTGTCCCTGCATCTTCAAACTTCCATGGGAGCACTGCCAGCTGCTGCTGGGAAGGGGCTGAATAGGCTTTTGCAGGCCAGGGAACAGGAATGATGCCCTCCACACAGAGGAGGAGAGTAAGGCCAGAGGCCCTGAATATAAGCCTGGAATATATTTAATTGAGGGCAAGCAAGCTCAGCGGGGAATGATAAGTGTGTGCCTGCCCATCCTCAGCAGGAGAGTGACATTTTGGAGGCAAATGAGGGGGGGACAAAGGAAGTAGGATAGGAATAATTACCACCAAGGACCACTCAGAACAGAATAGTGCTATTGGGTTACATATAAGCAGCATGCCCAGCATATCCCTCATCCAACAAAAGCAGCATTACCAGCCCCTCTTGTCATCACCTGCTTAAGTCAACTGCTGAACGGATACTATTAAAGCTTTAATCCATTACACATTTATGTTATGCCTGAGAAATTTATACCACAAGAAGCACTGAGCCCAGCAAGGGTCAAACCTGAGAGTTTTACACACTCCACTGATTATATTCACATATTCAGAAGAAACCATTTAGCTGAAGAAATTAATATGAAAGGGGCAGCAGCCAATCTCCAGAACAACTTGGCCAGGGTGGCTCCCAGAGCCTGGGAAAAAGACTCCATCAGTGGCTGGGATTTCCCAGTAAGGAATCTCTGTCCTTATCCAGAAGTGGTACCATCTTGTCTTCTCTGTGTCTGCTTTTGTTTCAGAGGTCAGCCTGTCTGCTGAACAGAACTGGATCCCTGTATGTTGGCTTTGCGAGATCTTCCATATAAGAACCCAGTGATGATTCCAGGGCTTGTTCCATGGACCTGTCAAGGGACAGTGATTTATCCCATTTTGCTACATTGAAAGGAAGGACATTTACAGGCTGTCTGCACACCAGGACAGCATGAACAACAAATATTCAGAGTCCTTCTACTCAAAACATGAGCCTGACCTGCGGCAACACATGGGGACGATATGGTGTTCAGGATGTCAGATCTGGAGTGTCTGCTCTCACATTTCTCACTCAGAACCAATATCAGGCTTGCAGAATTCCTGCCAGGACTTGCATGCACACAGCAGCTGACTGCAGCTCCTCCTGGGCCATCTGGGGCCCCAGAGCCCTGCCCTACGTGCTGGCATCTGAAACCAGCTCTGGGTGAGCATCCACAGGGGCTTCTCCATGCATTAAAGCATGCAAAGATGTTTTTATGCATGTCTCCCACCCCAGCGCATGCAAGGACATGGCACAGTGCAAGGAGGGGCATTGAACCCAAACTTTTCTCCTGTGGACCCACAGCCTCTCTTGTACAGTGTGAGATCCATAGAGGTGATTTCCACCTCTTGCTCCTTCAGTTCTGCTCCTCCCTCTCAGGAATTTGCAGTACTGCCAACTCTCCCAATGCACAACCCAGCTTTCCAGACACAGCCAATCAACCTCACCTTTGATCTGCCTGGCAGCTGTGCCTGGCATGCAGGCTCCAGCAGCAGCAGCACCCCAGGGAGGAGGAGGTTTGCCAGCTTGCAGGAATCTACCCCAAAAGAGAAGCCCCACATATCCTTGATGGCTGTCAGTGTTGCAGCCGTGCCTCCCCCTCATCACAGGACCTGTCTAGCCAGAGGCATCTCCCTTTCCATGACCCGTGTGGGACGGCCTCATGCATCAGGAAATTAAATACTTGTGAGGCCTGCTATGGGTACACAGCCTGCCTTCAACAAATTCCATAAAGTAGGGCACGAGCAGGATAGAACAAGGCAGGCTGCAACTTCCTCAGACATTAGAGGGCAGGCAGCTGGCTAACATATGAGGTTCTCAGTGTTAAGGCAGGTAACTTGTAAGATTTAAAGTCAGAAAGTCAGAAACAGAAATGTGTTTCCAGTAAAGAAGAAACTTTTTCACGGCACACTTGTCCCTCAGCTGAATCTGCTGGCAAGTCCCCAAGCGAAGATGGTTGAAGCAAACCTGCTCAGGCATGCTGAGGGCACGAAGTGGCTCCCTAAAGGTCACTCCAGTCATGAGACATCAATAATTTTCAGTCACTGCAAACACAGTCTGGATGCAGAGTGGTGATCTACAGCTGAATGCCAGCCAATGTGGACTGGACAGACACTATCCACCTGAGCCTTTCACCCTGCAAAGTTCAAAACATTACCCCTCATATTTCCTTATGGATCAGTTAAAAATGTTGTTTTCCAGTGCATTTGGTCTAAATCTCTAAAGAAATGGACCACTTAACACATAAGACCCAGTGCAATCCCAACCTGCAGTACGCTTACTTACAGTTCTTGACTTCAGGGTTTCCTCAGCTAAGTTTCCCTGGCAGAAGTAAATGTTGCAAGTAATTTTTTTTGAAGTTTTTATTTGTGAACATTATTTTGTGGCTCAATTGCTTTCTGCAAGATACTGAACTAATTCCAGTTTGGCTGAGTGCTCCCTTTTAAATGCAACATCTGCTTTGTTCATCAGCTGAAAAAGAGTTATCTGTGTGCATGGTAGAATCTACCTCTCTGCTGTGGTCTGAGGACCATGTAAATTCTGGTTTATAGAGGATGAACATCATGCCACCTCCAAAGCAGATTTTACATTTAGCCATGTGCCTCACATGCAGGAATATTTGTCTCCAGGGGTGAATCTTTTCAGTTTTCCACTGGAGATCTCAGCCCCCTGGCACTGAGTCCCACAGCCCCTGTAAACACGTGCATAATTTCCAGCATGTGAGTAGCTCCAATAAAGTCCACTGGGCTTAAGGGCTCTCACACACATTTAAGTACATTGTTGGATCAGGGCCTGAAGTTACTCATGTCTTTTATTTATAAATGTTAGCCTGGTCTGTAAAAGTGACATGTTTCTCTTAACAGGCTGTGATACCAGATACACTCAGCTCCAAAGTAAACATGCCCAGAAGAGCTCCACCACTGAACCCAGCAATGGAGTGGGGGGAGAATGGAGTTAGCAGAGTTTGGAGGAAGCTTTGGACCTTGCTGACCCTGGGCAGCACCACAGGATTCAGTGTGAGGCTTGGTTTCAGTGTTATTACTCATAAATCGGGTTAAGCACCTGCTTAACTTCCCTGCTAGGTCACAGTGTTGCTCTTGTCCTTTGACACTGTTTACACAGAGATATCTGGCTCCAGTCTCGAAGCCTGAGAAGCTCAGCTCATTTCTGCTCAGGTCCACTCTGAACTGAGCTGGAAACTGTCATTTTGCAGAGATGTTCAGACATTCTGCTTTCATCCATTCATACATTCATCCAAACTGCTGCTCAAAGCAGGGACAGACACGATGCCAGACGAGGTTCAGCAGGGTTTAGACAGCTAGGTTTAGAAAGCCTCCAGTGATGGAGAATTGTACAACTTCCCTGAGCAACCTGTTCCAATGTCTGCCTCTCCCCACATAAAAAGATTCTTTTTCCTTATAGTAAGTCTGGACTATTTTTGATCCATGGCCACCAGCCCTTGTCTTCATGCTGCGCACGACTGTGCAGATCTGAGCTCCATCTTATTAATGACCTTCCTGTAGGTACTAGCAGGATGATATTTGGTCTCTCTTCTAGCTGAACATGCCCCATTCCCTTTGTCTGTCTTCTCAGGGCACGTGCTCCAGTTCCCTCACCACAATGAGGGTCTTCCAACTCATTCCATGTCACTTCCTGCACCAGCAGCTCAAGGCTCTTTTGCTACAGAAAAGGTGATCATTCCTTCACTCAACTAGCCACGTTTCTGTTAATTCATACTGGGATTCTGTTGGCTGCTTTTGCTTCCAGGACATTCAGCTGCTGCCTACCAAAACACCCCCAGGAGAAACTCCCTGGCCAGTTCATGGTGTTGCTGCCCAGGGTTTTTCCTATCCAGGCATAGGACTTGGCTTTTGGGTTGGAATTTGAGTGGGTTTGAATGGCACTAGGTTGCTACTGTTTCTTTCCTCCAGCCTGTTTCGGTCTCTGGATGGCAGGCCTGACTTAGAGCTTGTGGGCAGGTCCTGGCAGTTGGCTGCAATCTCTGGATGTGAGGATAAAACAGTCTATTGTATTTGCAGGGTGCCTCGACACTGGAAGGAAGGAATGATGAATCTGACTCCATGTTCTCAGAAGGTTAACTTATTATTTTATGATACTATATTATATTAAAGAATACTATACTATACTACTAAAGAATACAGAAAGGATACTTACAGAATGCTAAAAAGATAATAATGAAAACTCATGACTCTTTCCAGAGTCCTGACACAGCTTGGCACTGATTGGCCTAAGAGTCAAAACACACACCAAAACCCAATGAAACAATCACCTTTGGATAAACAAACTCCAAACACATTCCAAAGCAGCAAAACAGAGGAGACGCAATTGAGATAAGAATTGTTTTCTTTTTTCTCTGAGGCTTCTCAGCTTCCCAGAAGAAAAATCTGGGCGAAGGGATTTTTCAGAGAATGTGAATGTGACATCAGTCCTTCACCTTCTCCAGGCTACTGATGAAGATGGCAGGGGAGTTGAAACCAGATAAACTTTAAGGTCCCTTCCAGCCCAAAACATTCCATGGTTCTAAACAGGACAGGTCCCAGGACAGACCCTCGTAGGATTCCACTGAGTTCAAGATTTGAGCACAACTCTCTGAGCCAATCACTTGAACATTTTTTACCTGCCTGAGTGTCCCCCTATCCAGACCCTGCCATCATAGCAGCATGTGAATTTCCCTGGATGTGTACTCACAGCACCTGAACCACTCCACCAGTTGTGGGTTTCTCTGGGTCTGGATCAAAGGCGCTTGAGACGTTCATGCTCAGACTCAGGTGTTTATTATTTCTTATCAGTAAAACAGTCTCACTACTGTGAGTTCAGCAGCTTTTCATTAGAAGGCACAAAATGGCTAACAATCTCTTTTTACAAGGTCTATTCAGACTAAACTATCCAATTAAGAATTGACACCTAGATTATTTTCCCTTTTAACCCAATAACTGATCCCACAGAGCTGCAATGCAGACTTTTCTGCCCAATTACAAAATGCCACCCAAACCATGAAGAAGAAGGAAGAAGCAGCATGAAGAAGAAACCCAGGACGACACCCTGTGCCCTCCATCTTGCTTCCATCCACAACATACTAAAAATCCTAAATTTCCCACCAAATGATACACCTACACTGCTCTCTATAATCTATTATTTCGCACTTTTGTGGATTCTGGTCTACCTTGAAGTCTAGGAAACTTTCTCCATGAATGAGGGTCAGAATCAGTGCTCCCCTGGGGGTCAGGGCACCCCAGGGCAGATGGAGAAATATTCCCAGTGCTCTGGGTTTCCACACACCTATCCTCATGCCCACTTTTACTTCAGGGCAATAACCAGGGAGTCAGATACATCCTGCATATTCATCTGAAGGCTGGGATCACAGTGCATCCTCCATGGAGTCAAAGTAATTAGGATAGGCTGGCAATAGGCTTGTAAGATCATTAGATAGGTTTTAACGAGTCAGGTAAAGAAAAGCCTGACAGAGGGGACCTATGGTCTGATAGGAACATTTTACAAAGTCTGTTGGCCAGGAATGGAAATTCAATAAAATTCAGACATGAATAAGTATAGTTTTATGAGTGAAGCAATTAGGCCTGGAAACAGCTGAGTGGTGCCTGATGGGTTCTCAGCCATTTGAAACACTTAAACCAAGGCATTTCTGTGTTCATAAATAAATTCTACGTTCTGTGACCCAGACAAGTTACAAGCACGATGCCAGAATTTTTACACTCAATTCCAAGTTAGATGCTCATAGTGGTACCTTCTAACCTTAAAATGATGCAGTGGTACTTACACTAACAGTTAACACTGTAAGAAATCCTGCTCAGTTTCTAATAAGTTGTGTTTATTTTCAGAACAAATGAAAGAATAACATTTTCATCGGCTTCATGAGATTCCATCAACCTGTAATTGATTTCCCTTCCTTTCAATCTTTCCTTCCTTTCCATTGTTCACAGCTACCCACCACTAGGGATCGGAGTATTTATTTTCCATGTTTCATTTTAAATAGCTGCAGATATTGCTGCATTAAAAATACTAAGATAATAAATATATATATTATAAAATATATATTTAGAAATAAATATAATAATAATAAATATAATAATAATAAATTGCGCATTAAAATACTAAGATAACATGGAAATGTTTTTTTTCTTTTTGCAGGATTAGTGAATTCTACCCTCTTGAGCAGAGTTATCAGTGGCATCCGTACAGTTCACACAAATAGGTAAGATATTCCTTTTGCCTGAATGGATCATGCAATTAGAAAGGAACCATCAAGAATTCCCTTAAACAGATTGCACAAGCTCATCCATCCCATCTTAAAATTCCTACAGGTCTGACATTGAGTGTAGGCTGAACAATTCTGCTTAAAACAGAACATGCTGACGTAATACAGAGTCAAGTTAAATCTACTTTTCAGTTTTATTCTCATAGGGAAATCTTGTTTCTTATTCAGGGCTAAATTCGCAGAAGAAATGAACATTCATTTGCTACATCTTAAAAAAAAAAAAAAAAACAAAAACAAAAAACCCACCAAACCCCTTGGAATTCTGTACCAGAGGCTGTCACTGAAATTTGGCTATAAACAAATTTTTGGAAGCAATTTCCTCCCAGAGAGCAAACAGTAGGTTAGACAATCTGCTGCAGAGATCTGCATAACAAAGACTTTTGAAAACAATTTTAAATCACCATCTTTCAAGCACTTGTCCAAATCAATACAAACACCAGAGCTAAGGACACCCAGAATGACAACAAAAACCTGCATCAGGCACAAGAAAGAACCACCTGCCAGCTCTGCTAGTTTTGTGTTTGTCCTTCCAAGCTCCAAACAGGTCAAAGCATGTTTTACTCAAATGATGGCAAAAATAGGAACGGTCCGCTAGAAACCAAACTTGTTGTTCACTCTTGCAAGTCTTTCCCTCAGCCTCCTCTAAAAATCTGCGGAATATTTAGGTGAAACAACAGACTACTGGATTAGAGGGAGTTGGGAGACACAGTTTCAAACTCTTTAGTGAGCACTGCAGTCTCTTGAGCTGGGTTTCTCAAAACTACTCCTCCTCCTCCTCACTGCCAGTAACCATCTCCACCATCTGACACAATCCATCTTTCCAGGGCACACACGGACACCCCTGCCCATGGTTACTCACCCAGGGGAAGCTTTTCCAGCAGGTAAAGGTAGCACTTGAAGAAGTCGTTCTGGATGGCCTTGTGCAAGACAAAGGACATGCTGTGCCGACAGAGCTCTTCATCCGTCTTGTGCCAGCGCGACTTAAAGGCCAAATGTGCTGCTTTATAGGCCATGATGAAGATTTTTTCTGGGAGAATGGACAGCTGCTGTGGCTGGTGTTCTCTGGAGGACCTGTCCTTCCACAGGGGCAGAGGCAGAGTCATTTAAATTGTGGCAGTGTGCTGTCATGCTATATCGGGGTGTGTGGCAGGGGCGGAGGCGGGTGAGAGGGGAGTGAGAAATGCTGGCTCTTGGCACTGGCCCACACTTATCCCTGGAGTGTTGCCCTCTGAAACAAGCAGGTGCTGGAAAGTGGGAAAAAAAAATCCACCAGTGCTTAGCCAGGGTTAAAGTATATCCACTCCAAAAAGGAGTGGCTTTAATTCAATTGTACTTTTCTTAATCTATTCAGCTTTCACTCCAAAAGAACTCAGATATTATCATGAATCTCCCTCTTACATCTTGCAGGGTGATTTTGTTTCTGTGTCTCTCCCTCACTATTGGTTCTTCAGTGCAGGGCACTCAAGAGGAAGGCCACAAGACAGAACAGGGATGTACCTCTACACAAACTGTGAGTCCTAATAAACTGTGATTCCAGCAAGCAAAGGTTTCCCCTTTTCAAGTGTTTGTTCCAGGTGTCTGCAATATCAGTTTGCTGCACTGCAGAAACACAGTCAGGAAATTGGATGTTCCCAGTACAAATGGGCTGCCCTACATCCCCAGCAGCACTGCAACCTCCTGACAAATATCTGACCAAGTTTTTAAGAACAGCACAAAGGTGACCCAGCCTTCACCAAGCAAAATAAATCTTATTTGGAAAAATAAATTTGATTTTCTTTTAAGCAGGATCAGTTCCCTAGGCCAGCTTACAGCTGATATATGGGAATTTGTCACATGCCAGAGTCTGGGGGCTGGAACAGCCACCTGGGATGGCAGTGGCTGTATCCACAATGCAGATCTCCTGCTTCTTCCTGTCAGAGAGGTGTGCTCCAGGGCGTTGGAATCCTGGTTCCTGAGAATTTTAGACTTTCTGTGATGACAGGCACTGACCCCCAAGAGAACACTGCATTTGACCTGAGGCTGTGGAGAAGCTTCCAAAATGGAATGATAGAACTGGGATTGTGGGTGTGGAGTTTGAATAGAGGTGTGCAATATCATGGGGGGAAAACTTAAGAGTTTAAGGTTCTAGAATATAGTAATATCTATAAAGCAAGATGGAGGTTTTAGGGCAGTGACTGGTCCTTCTTCACCTTCTTCTCCATGGGTCTGGGTGGTTTTGTGTAATTGGATAAAAAAGTCCACATTGCAGGCCATGGGTGGTCAGTTATTGGGTTAAAAGTAAAAATAATTCAGGTGTCATTTCTTAACTGGACAGTTTATCCTTAAAAGGCCTTGTAGAGAGAGAGAGAGACAGGGCTCCATTTTTAGTTTGTTAGAGTGAAGTGCTGTAGAACTCAGGGTTTGTGAGACTTTAACATAGTTAAGACCTAATAAACATCTGAGTCCAAACAAGAAATTCCATCTCACACATTTAATCCCAACCGTGGCAAAAGGACGCATAGATTCCACACCAGGGGTTGCCACAACAGCCAAAGGTAATCCTGGATTCACTCAGCAAAGTGAGATTTTCTCTCACCAGACACCATAGACCCCATAAGAATTGTTGAGCACGGTGACACTCACACTTGTCTTTCCATGGTACAGTTCTCACCCAATACAAATATGTCAGAAATAACAGTTCTAAAAAAAACAGGATTAGTTTTTCAGGGTGAATGTTGGTTATAACTCTTTTAGATAAAATTGTGGTGGGTTTGATCACAGCAGTCCTGCCCTACACAAAAAGAATGAAGATCTCCAAAAGGCTGTATAAACACTGCTTCTATTATATTACCTGCATGTGATCAAATCCCTGGTGCATCTCTGTCATCTGTGAGTTGCTGTGGACACACCATTGCTCCTCAGATCCTAGTGCAGATAACCAAGTGAATCTCAAGAGCACTGAGCCTTTTAAAGCACTTTCAAAGCACTTCCTACTGCTGTCAAAACTTAGATCAAACAGATTTGTGTCCAGAACTGTGTGATAAAGAGCACATAAATAGCAGGGTTGGGTTTGTTGGTTTGGGTTTTTTGGTTGTTTTTAGGGGGTTTTTTGTTTGTTTGGGTTTTGCTTTTGGTTTTTGCTTTAGGTTTTTTTGTTGCTTGTTTGTTTTTGGGGGGGGCAGGTTTGGTTGTTTTTTTCCACTAAGTGGATGCTTCATTTTCTATTTGTAAACAACAGCACATTCATATTTTCTGCTAAGAACAACTCACAAGTGGTTCATACTGCCTCCTAAACTGATATTCTGAACAGGAGTGGTATCAGTCTACCCAGAAGCTGTGAACAATTCAAGCACTGTTACACATCCCACATCTGCATTCACAAGAAGTGTGGGGTTTGAGTATGGGCACGATGACACTATCCGTGGTGTGACTGCTGAAATGTGAGCAAACCCACATCTCAATCCTAGTTTCCTTTCCCAAATGGCTACTTGACTCTTTCTGAAGTTGAAGCCAGCTACCCAGCCTTTTTCTTGTTGGTTGGGACCCTGGAGAATCCAGAGCTCTGGATAAAGTGGAGTAGAGTAAACTAAACTAAACTGTCTACCCATCCACAATGCCTGCCAGTCATTGGCTTGAACAGCTTTGGGTCTAAAATAGGAATGTGCTTGTATTTATGTGGGTAAGCCAACAGTTCCTCTGTGTGCCTTCCTCTTCCTTCCCATGAGATGAAGAAGTCCTATGACAAGAGGTTTAGGAGAAATTGAAATGAGGGATCAGCTGGAGCAGCTTCTTGTTAAAACACCTGCAGCTCATCTCTGCCTAAGTAGCCCAATTAAAATAAGGTATCAGATGGTTTATTATGAGTTGCTGCAAGATCCAAGGTGGATCTGCTTGTTGGAGCATCAGGATATTTAACAAGGAGTTGGACTTGTGTTTATATTAGTAGGTAACCATCTGTCCCTGCAGACTGGAGCTGTACATGTACTTCTGAAACACATCAGCTGCACAGAAGAGAGAAATAAAAACATGTGCACAAGCTCCATGTATCACATAGATCACAAAGGGTCAAGGTTGCCTTTAAAGGACTGTGTTCTGCTTACAAAACACCTGGTATGCAATCCAATTTCCACACAGACATGCCATCAGGACTGCTGTAAGATTCCTTTTTATCTTAAAAAAGGCCTCTATAGTCATTCCTCTCCCTCACACTCATGCTTGGCATATGCTGTCAAGAATAGATGCAGTTAAAGCAAGTAATTTTTGCTTTGTCTGTGACATCAGGTTTTTAAGAGTTCCTGAGAGCCACAGGATGATGTCCACACAAGAGGCACAGGCAGAGAGCACCCATGCAGCTCTGAGGGCAGTGAAGAGCAGCTGCAGGTTGGATGGCAGCTGGTGAGCTTTACAAGTGCCTGGATTGTTCTGGCTGCAGGTTTGGTGGCTCGTTCAGAGCAGCAGTGAATGCCCCTGTCAGGCTGGAAAACAGCAATATGACACTGGATGCACAAATTGTCTGAATTGCTGAGGTCCAGAACTCTTAGTCACAATCCTGAATGCCACTCATGGGTCCAATCAGACTTAGCAGTTTTAAAAATTATTACTGTGGAAATAATTTAGTTTTGAGTTGACTGCAGAATTGACCAAAAAAAAAAAAAAAAAAAAAAAAAAAAAGAGTGCTTTGGGTTGATGAGAAACTGAAATACTGCCCTTTTCTCACACACACAAAAATTTCTGTGTCAGGCCAAACAAAATGTTTTTGTTTGTTTGCAGGGCTATTTCCCTTCTAATTTTTTATTTGTTTATTTGTAATCAGATTCAGGTAGATTTGGTTTCAGTCTATCATTTACAAGTGCAAACAAGAATAACGTCTCCAGCAGACTGGTCAGTCTTGCAAAATCACTCTGTGTCAAGGAAATGCAGAGCAAAGCAAATCCCGGGGCAAAGACCCAGCCTTGGGAGGATGGGACTTCTGATGTCTCAGGAGAAACCCTTGCTTTGAACCACATTTCCAAAGCAGAGTTCACTGCTTGTAGGTCAGGATGACTCACAGCCTTCAGGGCATATCCTGCTCAATTCCCATGTGCTTTCATGGGTGCAGCCACAGCAGCAATCTGTTATCGTTTATACAACTGGAATTTAGCAATCTGGAATTCCATCTCAAGCAATCTGAGAGCATCTGAGCCCTATGGGTAAATATATATTAAAATTAATGTAACTGAAATTGGCCAGAGCTCTATGCCTATGGAGGGAACACACACTTTCCCTCTAATCCTTCTAGCCCTGGTGCCAACATTATAAATTGCATTATAAAAGGAGTGAGTGAAGCCACTCTTGAGTAGGAGAGGCAGCTTGAAGATCGTGTCCCAAGCACAGTGAGAGTCCCAGCAGGACCCAGATTTGGAGATCCACAAACTGTGCTAACAGCAATATTTGGGGAGGACTCTGAGCTTTGGCCAGGAGGATTTTATTTGGTTCTGGTTAGGGACCCTCAGTAGTGCTGAAGGGAAGGAAGGGCAGGGTTCCTGATGAAACTGCAGCAGGGGCTGCTCTGTTGTTCTTGATAAGAAGCATGACAGCTGTGCCCACAACATCTGGTTCTCATTGAACCCTAGTGAGAGTTCCTTGCTGAGTCTCTTCCACCTCAGATGTGGTGGTTTAATTGATGGAGCCTGAGAAGGTTTTAGGTCCTGCATGGAATGCTGCCTTTCACTGTGATATGTGACACCAGATACAGTAAGGGCTGGTCTGCTCAGAGCCATCTTTTAAAAGCATTTCTTTTCAATATTGAATTTTGAGTCTATTGCCCTCTGTTGGCTCAAGCACAGGGTAAAGCTCCTTTTCTGAGGTGAAAGCTAACAAAATTCTCCTCCTGGCTGACTGGGGAGGCTTGAGGGGTTTGGAAAATGTGGGATCAAGTCTGCTGTAACCTTGTGCATGTGAGCGTGCACAGCTCCTGTGCCCCACAGCTCTGTTGAAGAATGCAGGCACAGCTCTAACCAAGGAGGAAGGGGCTCTGGAATCTGCCTGGCTCGGCCACTGGAGACTGCACACAAGAAGAAAGGTTTTAGGGGGGGATCGTTGTTTGGTGAGCAGGGATAAAGAGGACGTTGCACACTCATGAAACAGCACAAA